TATCTATCTATCCCCAGCCACCCCCTCTATCTATCTATCTATCTATCTATCTATCCCCACACACACCCCTCCATCCATCCATCCATCCATCCACCCCCACTATCTATCTATCCCCATCCACCCCCTCTATCTATCTATCTATCCCCACACACCCCCTCTATCTATCTATCTATCTCTCTATCACCTTTTCCAACACTCTACATATTTCTGGCCGATGCACAGATAGGAAACACTCGCCGGTTTCTCTCCTCCCCTCACCGAACAATTCCCCATTCCATATTTTCTTCCTTCTCTACAGTTCGAGTCTCGTTTCCTTTCCGTTTGGGTCCTTGGCCTTTGTACTTTTCCACACAAAGCAAATGTCCCCAAAGCGCGTGAGACCCAGGACCTATCACGCCCAGACCCCGGTCGGTTTAGTGTCAGGGATCGGATTGTAACACGGTTACGTTGGAAAGAAATCCCAGGCCTTTGCTGTCGCGATAGTCACACACGGGGCGATAACTGAGTCTGAAATCAGTTGGGATTCACAGCTGGGATGAATCTTAAACCTCTTGCAAGAATGTACGGGGCTGAATTCTGAGTTGCTTTTACGCGATTAACTGGGCTACGTTTGTAAAGAAAACAGTGTTTTCCTTGGATTAAATATTAAAGGAATTTCAATGATCGAATGAGGTGATCAATCTAATTCCCACAATTTCCTTGGATTAAATGATAAACTTCTGGGGCTAATTTTGAAAGGACCCATGGATTAGCTTTAAGAAACTCCTATTTTTCCTACAGTTACATTTTAAAAGGATTACCATCATCTGATGGGATTAACAGACACATTCCCTGGAATTAATTTCTAATCTTCTGGGGTTCATTTTGAAATGCATCACAACAATTTACTACAATGATTTTTAAGGACATTGAACTAGTTGCCCTGGGATTATTATTTAACTCAATTTCAACAGTGCGCAGGATTAACGATGCCATTGCAATCATTTGGTGCCTTTTTTAAACTGCAACAATTGTTTCAGGATTTGGTTTAAAGACGTTGCAATAATTCTGCTGAGAAGCTCAGATCCATTGCACTACTTGGCTGGTAATTACAAAGAACTGCATCCATTTACTAGGAACCAGACTGTGATCACTGAGTTTAATTAACTCATAAATAATAATTTAGTACCATTAACTCTGAAATAAATGGCAACCAATTGCTGACTTTACTCTTAAAGAGATTGAAATTATTCAGCGGGACGAACTCTTAAATAGTTTGCAATATTTCACCAGGATTAGTTCAAACTGGGATTATATTTTAAAGGAACCGCAAAAAATCCGTGGATTTTGCAGTAATTTTCAAGAAATCACCAAATCAATTATCTTTATTAGCAGCAATTAAATTGTAAAGAAAAAGAGTTTATTAGGGTTACTCAAATGGTGCATTAATTTGCTGGAATTATATTTGAAATTACCAGAGTTGGCTGGGATTAATATTTAAATATTGCAAGATAATTAATATTTAAATATGGAAGAATGACCCAGGATTACCTCCTAAACTTCCTCAAATTACTCTGATTAATTGGAATCAATTTCTATCCGTTTCTAGGATTAATTCTTTGAAGACATGGCAAGAATTTGGAAAGGGCAAACAAACAAATCGCCACGCTTGGCTCGGATTCGCGCAAAGAAATTGCAATAATTTTGGGTTGATTTAAATACTTTGCCGTAACGTCCTAGTAACAAAGAAATCGCCACAATTGGATGAGGCCGGTCGTAAGAAAAGCTCGTGAAGAAAATTACATGAATTTTGAAATAATTTTCCCAGTTTCATTCAAAACTTGCAAGCCGTTTCGTGGGCTTAGCTGTGAAAATGTAACCGTTAACTGGGCTCAGTCGTTAAATCGTGCATCGTTATTTCCTGGCCTTAGCTGTGAAAATACAACGGCTCCGGATGGTATCAGATGAATTCAGGTGTGAGACTGACGGAGCCGCTCGCTGAGAAATGGGCCACGTTCACTATCGAATCACTTGCGTTTCGGAGGCGGAATCGTTCACTTGAGGCCTGGATCGGCCAGGTTAGTTCAGAGCAGCCGTTCCCAACCAGGGGTCCGAGCAGGTTTCGGGGGGCCCCCCAGCCAGGCCGGCCCAGGGCAGAAGCCAGGACTGATGCCCGGGGCCCCGAGCCGGCTGGCGCCGAAACCAAAGCCTCAGTGCTGTAGCTTTGCGGGTCCTCCTTGGCGTGGGGCCCTGGACAATTGCCGGGCATGTTGTGGGGGGCTCGGGCAGGAAAAGGGTGAGAACCCCTGGTTTCAAGGCAATCACCCCTTGCAGGCCCCATGCAGCGACCCCAGGGATGGGGCCCGTGCACTCGCGGCTGGCTCTGCCGGGGCCCGCCAGGACCGGCTCGGAGCGATGCCTCATGGCCCGGACCGCTCCGGTTCACGCTCGCCGCGAGTGGTACATTCATCCCGGCCCGCGGGCAGCGCTGGGCAGGGGCTGGGGATAGGCAGGGCGGGTGCGGGGCACTGGATACATAGGGATGGATGGATCGACGTGCCCACCCACCCAGCCCGTACAGCATCTCTCTGCCCACGGAGAGCCGGCTGGCCAGTGCCCCATGCGCCCCGCTCGGTCTGTCTGGGCTGCGGGTTCAAATCCCCCTGTCCCAGCCTCGCGCCCCCTCCCTCCCCACTCACCTGCAATCAGCGCCAGCGTCCAGAGCAGGGGGCCTGGGGCCATGGCTGTCCGTGCGAGGGCACAGGAGAGCGGGTGCAGGGCTGGTGCGACTCGCACCGGGGGGGGGGTCAGGAAATGAGCCTCTGAACACCACCCGCCTAACGCGGCCGGTTCCTGGCTTCCGGCCCAGGGGCCAAGGGGGGGGGAGGGGAGGGGGAGGGGCCCGGACTCCTGGGTTCCATCCCCAGCTCTGGGAGGGGAGAGGGGGCTGGTGGGTTAGAGCAGGGGGGGGGCTGGGAACCAGGACTCCTGGGTTCTCTCCCTGGCTCTGGGAGGGAAGTGGGGGCTGGTGGGTTAGAGCAGGGGGGGGCTGGGGAGCAAGAGGCCTGGGTTCTCTCCCCGGCGCT